ATTAATCATATAACAACTCAAAATACATGAAATGGGAATTTAACTTTTATTTAAGCCTATAAACTGGCTAGTCATAATCAATAATCATTTCTGTCCTTCCGACATTTAAGTTGTATTTTCAAGATAACTTGGCCAATCATTAGGAATTCATTTGAATTTATGCATGAATATTTTTAAATTCCATATTGGAATTTTTTTGAGGGGCAAATTGGTAATGGGTCCTTTATAAGGACCTAAAAAGTACCCTATTATTAGCCATGCAGAGAGTCTAAATTTCAGTACGTTGTCCCTTTTGACATCATTAACAAGTGATCATGACAGATAGTATAACAAATCTGATCTCCTAGCTTCCCCTATAGATAGCATTTCGGAAGGATTTGGACAGATTTTGATCTAGAGTACAAAAACGAAACAGTTATAGCTATAATAGACGCTGAAACACATCTGACACTAACAAAACATGACAATTGCTTCCAGAAATAAAGATCACAGACAGTGGTTACCATGGCAACTGAGTTTGTCCATGTCAAATGTGATTGGTGCCGTGGAGACGGAATTATTTTGTTCATCCTGTATGTCTGCCATGGCGTTACGTCGTCCTGTACGTCCGGTGTTTACAAACTCCTCAAGGTGGCTCATTTCAACTTCTGTCATCGTCTCAGCTGCCGCCGGACTCTGCGGAAAACAAGGGCAACAATGTCTGATGACAAAATTTCAAACAATTTAATACTCTTTATTATACACATGTTAAACATGTCTATTATATTCAGTAAAATTTCCAACTGAATGTCACTAAACGCAGGTGCAGTGACAACTTAACCTTTTCACCACTGTAGACCATAATGGACTCATCTCTAGATCAATGAATGTGAAAGTCTACTAAAGTTGCATAGGGGTGAAAGGGTTAACTGTTAAACATTATTATAAAATCTTTTTTATAATTTTGAGCACACAAAATCTCACCCATCGAAATTTCCTGAAAGGTATGGCAAGTATGTGAAATACTTAAAATTTTGCAAGATATTTTGGATGTGGTATATATGAAGCAGACATATCATGGTACAGCTATTATATCGATAAAGTGTCAGTCAATGGGCTGTATAATTAAATACAAGTATTAACATATTGGCTGTAAGAATGTGTAGTCTGGAGAGAGATCATATTGCACACGAGAGGTATGTGGTGTGCCTTGTAAAACACAACACTTTGAGAGAGGAAGGTCCGCAGGGTTGTAAGATTACTCCCGGCAATAAACTAGACATATACTTCCTCGTTTTATAGCTCTTGGATAACCTAGATGATAGACTGAAGTGGAGGCTACAAAAGTAATTCCTACAGTGATGATTTTTGAGGTTCATTTTGTCATTCTAAGTATTTTAAAATGAGAACAAGAGGCTCAAAGGGCCTGTTTTACTCGCCTGTTATGTATGACTATAAGACTCTTTCATATCTAGGGGTGTATAGGATAGGGAAATTCCAATGGAGGGATTTAAAAATTTGATAAAACCCGAGGCTGTGCCAAGAATTTCTCCATCCTACACCTTTTGGCATGAAGGGGTAGTTTACTACCAGAATAAGCTCAGAAATCATGAAAATGCGTTTGGACTGGCTACCATTTTGAAAATATCAATTTTTCCCTTGAGTTTTTTTGACGAAAACAAATTTCGTCACCAAGCAAGAGTTTGAGCAGAAAAAATGATCTCATCTTTCTAACGTGTATGGTAAATATATCGTAAAAGGTTTTCATTTCATCACGTTGCCTTTTCCGCATTGCGGCATCAGTGTTTTCCAAATTCGTGACGTCATGTCATTGTTGAGCCATTGTGACGTCACGCCCATGTAAGATAGAATCAGCAAGCATGGCTATCTTACATGGCCAGCGTTACCTAATAAATGACCGGATATGAGAGAAAAAGGTATTTAAGTATAGAAGCAAGAGGCTCAATGAGCCTGCTAATGCTTGCCTTTTGGAAAAGGAATGACACATCTGTGACCTTAAAAGAGGAAGAAGTACATATGGAAAATCACAGTGGCATCTCTAATGTTTTGCCTGCAGCAGGACAGGGACCCTATCCCAGCGACCCTATCCCCTCGGTCTAACACCAGAGAATTCCGGTGCATTAATTTGTTTAAGTGCCTGTAAATAACTATTGACCAGGTATATCAGTTTATTAACTCTTTCACCCCTGAAGACACATTTGAACTCCTCCAATTCAAAGGTTGGAATAGTTTATTATGAAATGTCAGGGGTGAATGAGTTAGGAGCATAAATCCCTGGATCAGAAGGTTCACCGACTTCAAATCCTCATCGCCAGGCTTCACTTAGGAAACTGTTGTTGACTATTTTTTTTATTTATTACATTTTTCGCCTTTTTTTTTATAAAAATTCCATGAATAATGTTTTCCTTTTCAGCAGTATTTATAATTGCTAAAGCAATGCCGGGAACAAATGACCAATGCATGGTTGCATGTTTTTGGCTGTGGTATGAGGATCCTTAAAATATGACCCATATTTATGTACGATCAATTAAATCAAATCATCAGGCATTCAAGTATTTGTGATCCTGCCAATACACACATAGCTTGGATTACACTACTGTTCAATAATTTACTCCCTGACAACGGGAAACTGATGAGAATAATTAAACTGTAAATATAATACAATATTGACCGACAATCTGAAGTGTATAACAGACACAGCACCAAACTTCGTCATTAACGACACCAATAATTAAGTGGCGCTAATTGATTAGGTTATAAACTCCATGGGTTTCCCCCTTGTTTATCTGGCAAATAATGGCAGTGTTAATGGATTCCTAATGTTATAAAAGCTGTATAACTTGTTATAGGGTCCATGGTATAGTGATGAATGTTCTCTTGTCCCTTGGCAGGTATGTGTACATAGCTCTCATTTCATAACCGTTTAACAAACTGGTCAGAGTACCAACAGCTTTACAACACATGGGGGCCTTTATGAAAAAATTTATGGCAGAATTTTTAAAAAACTTAAATTGGGCCAATACGAGCTTTAAGCTCATTTCCCGGCCATCCGGATCAAGGTAAATCAAGGTTAATCAAGAAACGAATACCGGCGTATGAGTTAACAGTAAATTCAATAGATAATACTCATTATGACCCCGCCTCCCACCCTTCTCCCAGCCCGCTCCCATGCAAATAAGTGTCATTTTTTGACAAATTTCTATAAATAGTACTGTCTATCATGACATTCACACATTGGTCCTTGAAACACAACCTTCATTTTTCATATTTGGTCTATCATACCTTTGTACACAGATTATAATATTGAACAAATAAAGCTGCTATAGTGATAAACTGATGTCATCGAATCGGTTGACAAAGGACTTGGGGCGTTATGGGTCAATTTTTCGTCCGCATAAAAATTAAGGATTTAAACTTTGAATTTATTTATCAATATCTGTTATCAACATTGGTTAATTGACTCTATCATTCTTGGTGCAGATATTTTCCCAATGCACATACGTAGATGTCCTATCATAGCAACAAAATTGCATTGCTATGCAGAAATAGCCAAAATATTGTGTTTTTGGACAGTCATGTAGCATGCAAAAATGAAATCCTCTGCCTGTGACAAATAAAAGTTCCTTTTCTATGAATGAACACTGATATGACAATGTTTAAGCATGTTAAATATTTATAGAAGAATGTTTAGTTGAGTTGCCATTTTTCAACCAAATAGCGCACAACAGACGATATCTAGTCATGATCATTTTATTATGAAAATACGGTTTTAAACCTCTCTATCAAAGCCACTGTTACCCTCATCAAGGAATGAACGCATCCAAAATTTTCCAAGGGGTCATTTATAGTAGCCCCAGTTACCCCCATCTCGTAATAAGAACATCCAAAGTTTCCCTTGAGTCATAGCCTCTGTTACAACCTCCAGGGATGAACCCACCCCAACCTTTTCAGGGGTCATAGCCTCTAGATAATTGTTACCCTCATCCAGGAATGAACGCATCCCAAATTTTTTCTCAGAGGTCATAGCCTCTGTAACCCTCTCCAGGAATTAACGCATCCCAAATTTTCCCAGGGTAATTATATCCACTGTTACCCCCATCTAGTAATGAACGCATCCCAAATTTTCTCAGGGGTCATAGCCTCTGTAAGCCAGGCCCTTTCCAGGAATGAACACATCCCAAGTTTTCCCAGGGGTCATAGCCTCTGTAACTCTCTCCAGGAATGAACACATCCCAAGTTTTCCCAGGGTCATTGTATCTCCTGTTACCCCCATCTAGTAATGAACACATCCCAAGCTTTCCCAGGGTCATTATATCCCCTGTTACCCCCATCTAGTAATGAACGCATCCCAAATTTTCTCAGGGGTCATAGCCTCTGTTAGCCCTTTCCAGGAATGAACACATCCCAAGTTTTCCCAGGGTCATTGTATCTCCTGTTACCCCCATCTAGTAATGAACACATCCCAAGCTTTCCCAGGGTCATTATATCCCCTGTTACCCCCATCTAGTAATGAACGCATCCCAAATTTTCTCAGGGTTCAGTTTTTCCAAGGTCATTGTATCTCCTGTACATGTTACTCCCATCTAGAAATAAGTGCATCCTAAGTTTTCCCAGGGGTCAAAGCCCCTGTTACCCCATCCAGGAATGAACACATCCCAAGTTTACCTAGGGGTCATTATATCCTCTGTTACCCCCATCTAGTAATGAACGCATCCCAAATTTTCTCAGGGGTCATAGCGATTCTCGTGAATATCACCAGGTTATGTTTTGGTCAATAAATTTCCTTGGCTTGCAGCAAAGTATTATTCGCTTTGTGAAACCATCAATTAAAGCATGACAAATATGTTAAGGTCTTATTACAGGACGAGCGGGGATGTGCGTTTGACTTGTTGACCCACGAGACGATCTTTTGCTCGGTTGGTCCGATACATCACTAATTAATTGACAAGAACTGTGCTTATTAACAGATGAGAAGCTGATGCTACCTTGTACTGCCAAAATGCCAGCGGCGGTACACAATGATCAATACGGAGAAAAACAATTAATTTCTGCTGATTTTACAACAACCTTACCTTACTACGAATCAATGACTCAGAGATGACAATTGCATGGAAATATTGTAGCTATGGTGAAAATCCATCCGGAGTGAGCTTATATCCTGTGACTTTATATAATTATAACCTCCAACGATTTTTACGGTTTAGATCACATACACTGTATGAATGAAATTTCATGAAAACATACCGAGTTTGTAATTGTGTTGAAGAAGCAAACAATTTCAATTTTAATCTATTGACCTTGACCTTGCGAGATGAACTTAACGCACTGCAATTATTGCGGAGTGAAAATCTTGACGTCCAGTACTAAATTAACGTGAAAATATCCACATGTGTATAGACAGGATCTTACATGAGTTTCCATTTCATATGAGATTCATGTAACGAGACTTAAAGAATTTTTCAATTTAGCGAGTCTCTGGCGAGCTAAAATGAAAAATCTGTGACGGAGTTTCATAAATTTCATATGAAATGAAAATGAGTGTTAGATCCTTTTTATCACATAATCAAGATTTGTAGCAGTTATTCCTATAAAATGACAATTTTCATGCAACCTTGAAATGTGAAAAGCCACCATTTTGACTCCAGTGCCTAAGTCTGTGATGTCATGTACTTGTC